TATATTTCCATATCATTGGAATTTCTGATATGAAAAAATTAAAACAAATACTGAAATTTTCTGTAGTAGTGAAAATAAAATACTTCTCAATTGTTTAACTTTTTTTGGTCTCATTGGTCTCTAGTTATATTTCCATATCATTGGAATTTCTGATATAAAAAAATTAAAACAAATACTGAAATTTTCTATAGTAGTGAAAACAAAATACTTCTCAATTGTTTAACTTTTTTTTTGGTCTCATTAATACTTATGTGCCATCCTGTACAGAATAAAAAAACCCCAAACCCTCAAAGTGATATATTTGAAATAAAAGATTCACATTTTATCTTAACGTTTTAATATTGCTAAGATAAAAGAAAAAAATTCAACCAGTTTGTCTTTTCATCCTCTAAAACTCTGTCAAAAAAGTGCAAAATATTTCAGTTTAAATGAAACTGTCTTTCCAAATGTTAACTCAGGCCTTTGAAAAAGATTCTGATCAACCTTAAGCACGGAAGAGGCCAAGGTAGATGATGACAATTGTCTCTTTGGGCCTGAAAAATCTTTTCTCTTTTAGCCTAATCCATGAACAGAGCTCCTCAAATATGGTGCCATCTCTGTAAAACAATCATGACTTAAAAGGAAACGTCATGTTGTTCCTGCATGGCTGAGGTCAACGTGGCTCCTGATGACAATTTCCATGAAAGCAGACTAGGTTTTTGGTTGCAAGTGAGCACGAGAGCAATGTTACAATGGGCTTAAATTTAATTTAGGCATGCTATGTGGAGAATTTATGCAGTAAAACCATTACCTCCATGGGCAAGATTTTGTTGTAGGAGACTGTGAATCTATATTATGTTTGCTTTCTGGGGACTAGATTTACCTGCAAGATTCCCTGTCAGAAATGATCCCTTCTCGATTTTCATAATAAATTTGGGCTTATAATTTCATGTAGAGAAAACCACAGAATTCTCTTTTCCCAGGTTTAGGCAAAACTTAGCTGACAGTTATTTTGTTTTACTTCATATTTGAGCCTATTTTTTGAACATCGCATTCAAGCTCAAACATCAGGAATCAAACTCAGACTCATTTTCATTAAAGTTAAGTAAGTCTTTACATGCAAACTATTTTGATAGTTCAAATTCTGAGAAAATAAGTATTTGATGACTAGAGATATAAGCTAAATAACATATGCCTAATTTTAAGAATAATTTCCTGATACTAGACTATTTGGTTAAAGGAATACATAAAGAAAGAAGGAAATAATTGCTTTTGCCACAAACATTCTGGAAGATAGCAAAAAGCAGAAGGGATATATATATTTTTTAATTCCAGTGAATACAAGAAATCTGTGACTATTTTATGACTACAAGGAAGAAGAATGTCTTTGCCTATAAAAGCAGACCAAAAAGTTGCCGAATGAGAACATTAATAATTGCTGCTATTTTTCTTAGAAGGCCTAAAAGTCAGGTTCCTCTGCCTGTGACCAGTATTTAAGTGCAAAGGAGGTGAAGGCAATGTCTGAACACTTTGATAGCAGTAAGAAGCATACAAAGGAAAAATAGGATACCAGTCTACCATTAGAATCAGGCAATCCAGGACAACTTAACTGAAAACAGTCTTTTATATCACTGAAAAAAATATTTAAAATAAATAGAGCAGCGAGTGGAATAAAAAGATGTGAAACCATCTTTTTAACAAATTATCCTAAAAGAGAAAACGTTATATTTTTTTAGAAATAAAGGTTTTTACAAAATCCAGCACTTTTTGTGGTGTGGTTTCTTTTCCTGCCTAAACATAGTTACGAGGAATGCTATAAGCTCCTGTGTCATCTTCATGGTGCTGAATACACTCATGGGGACTGTTCGTTGACAATACTTGGAGGTGAGCTGGCTATTTTTATGCCTGACCCACCTCTAAAATTTTTTGAAGCAGCCATTTGCATCTAAACTGCCTAAAATATCAAATCCAAATCTTTACTGCTACTGAGGCCCAATGGCACTGAGAATTTTAGAGAAATGGAGGAAAGAATAAGGGCCATATTCAAGCAAATTTACTTTCACAGAAAAACATGTTAGGTAACCACATGCCAGGGTTTAAGTTCACACTATTATAAATCAGAACTGATGTTACTTTAAAAACACAAATTGAAAATCTTTTAGAATTTAGGCATTTATGAAATTTCTTTCCATAATCTAAGTTTTCCTGATCTACCACTTGGAGAAGTAAGTTATAATCAATGCATTCCAGGAACCTCTTAGATTGCTTGTGCCCTGCTGTGTTGGCCTTCCAACAGATATCCGGGTAGTTGAAGTTCCGCCATGATGGGGGCTGTTGGGGGCGGGGTGGGGGGGAGTTTGTGAACCTGAGACTGCTTCTATCTGTCTGTAGAGGGCTTCATCAGCTTGGTTTTCCTGGTCAGGTGGACTGCAGTAGCTGTCCCTGCCCTCCCTTTATTCCTGACCCATAAGCTCTCACTCTGCTCCTCATCCATCCTCAGGCAGTGCTCCATGCACTCCAGCTGGTCACTGACATAGTGAGAAATGCCCCCTCCTCGCCTCCCCTGCTTGTCCTTCCTGAAAAGCCTGGATCTTTCCATTTCAACACTCCAGTCAGAGGAGTCATCCCCACCAGGTCTCCATGATGCCAGTAAGGTCACAGCCCTGCACGCATGTGCATGTCTCTGACTCTTCTTGTTTATTCCCCATGCTACATGCATTTGCACAGAGGCATTTAAGTTGGGCCCCCGATGAAGCCGACTTACTGGCTGGTGTGGCTTGAATTCCTTTGTGCTGCTCTTCAGGAGCAATCCCGCTGACCTGTGATCCCTCTTCAGGCTCTGGGCATGTATTACTAGCACGGGCATCAGACTGGTGGGAGCGGGATAGATTGAGGTTCCCCTCCTCTGGCAACTTTATTTAAAGCCTTCTTAACCAGTTTGACAAGCCTATGACTGAAGATGCTCTTCCCCTTCTCTGACAGATGGACCCCATCAGCCCCCAGTAGAGCAGGTTTTCCATATTATGCCTCTGCAAGTTCTAAATCTGCAAGTAGGAAGAATCATATTTCTCCAGGGAGAGATATTCATATCCACTGTGATGATAAAAAAAGACATAGCTGTGAAAGCATTGCAACACCTGACCAGTAAATGTACACGGAGACTGATTTCAATTACATTCTTTTGGCCACAGATTTTGAAGTTTGACTGGGCATCCCATGTACTTTATGAACTAGTTATACAGTGATTCACCGTGGAGAGGAAAATTCTTTTCAGGTTTTTTTTTTTTTGGGTGTGTGATTTTTACCTGTTCATAAACAACTCTACTATAGATGAATTTTTCTTTTAGCCTCTCACTTTCAAGGCTGTGAAAGCTGGCTTTCATTTACACAAATAGCACTAAAAAGTCAAAGGATGAAAAATGTGCTGTTTGTGGTGTTGTTTTTCAAACCTCCGGAAAAAAAATATCTGTAGTTTTGGTGATAGTGAGAATACCCCTCGCAGTTATTTTCATTGAGATGCTGGTGTTAATGGAAGCTGTAGTGGTACATTTGGAACTGTTTGTTCTGGGGGAAAAAAAAAAAAAAAAAAAAATCATTTTTTACTGTTCAAAATGGAAGTATAAGATAACAGATCTTTCTTGCTTCATGTCACCTTAAGAGACAGACACTGATGACTGAAGCCAATAGCCAGTGGTCTCATATGGAGCCAGAGCTATTTATTTTTCTTTCTTCCTTTTCTATTTTAGAATTAACATCTGTTTTGCCTGTGATGTAAGTATCTGTGTGAGTGCATGTGTTTGTGAAATATGCATAGCTGGATGCCTGTGAATACTTATAGGAATATAAAAAACACATTTAAAAGGAATGGGTGAATTGTATTTATCAGAATATTTTGTGTTCTTTCATTGTTTTACCAAATGCCTTCTAATTTTTTTTTTTTTTCAAAAGAATGAATAAAAGTAAGACCTAACAAAAAACATTGCTAAAAGGCCTTTTCTAAAACACTAAAATAAACTAGAGACTTTACTCCCTTAAAGATTGTTAGTTTTGAGTAGAAAAGCTCGTGAATGTAGTTGATATGTTAGTGAAAAAGCATCATCAACCCATTTGTGCAATAAAAGCACCTTTGTCATAAATATTCAATGATTTAGAGAAAATGTATTTTCACTTAAATAAAGGAGAAATGACACAAAATAGGCTCAAAATTAAGAATGTTTTTGTCTGTTAAAAGATTATAATGAAATCTCTCATTCTCCATCATGCTTTAGTGTATTGGATACTAAGTGCCGCTTTTGTCCATTCAGAGTGAAGTATTATTTAATTTATTTAATTTTAAAAATTATTTTCTTTCTATTACCTTATATCAAAAAAGTATTGCCACAATTGGCTGAAGAACTGTCTTTGCAAGAGTAAGTATGTGAATTTTTTGCTGAGGTATTTCGTGAGCTGTTGAGTAAATGAAAAGCCATGAGTTTAGGATATTTCCATACTGCAGTTGGTTGGTGATTGCAACAAAAGAGCAGTACTAGAAGGAGATATTATTTAAATAGATTTGGACATCAATATCAGTGAGGATGCCATGGGACGGATTTCAGTGGGAGAACAGAGCCTGCAGAAGGCTCAGGTTCTTATTTATAAAGCTAAAAGCTACCCTGAAGTCCGTATAGCCACACTGGTGACCATACAGTTTCATGGGGTAGTTAAGCGAAGGTACCTCTGGAAAGAATGTACGGCTGCATTCAGACCTCCCAGCTATAGGAGACATTTACATTTAAGGAGACATTTACAGTTTGAAGAATTATTGCTTGAGAAATTTTATCTTCAACTTGTAATTGTGTCTTCCTCGGTGTCACTCCCTGTTGACTCATACTCTAGAAAATTATTAAGGGCAGCAAGATTCAGATTTCTTATCATCCAAATTTATCAAATAATGAACTGTCTGCTTAAAAATAATGTCTTGATGGATTCAGTAAGTCACAAGGCTATCCTGATTTTTGTCAACAGAACTTGAGTGTGGAGCATCTCGTTGTTTTCAGTATCTCCAAAAACTTCAAGCTGAACTAGGTTCCCGAGAATTGGAACAGATGTTCAATATAACCAGGTTTAGATTTTCTAGACTTCCAGCATAACCAGGGGAAGGACTGGAAGAGGAGGGGAAATGCAATTGTCTGTTTTCCCTCGTGTTCTCTTGCATCATGTGATACTGTCAGAAGTGTGCAGCCTCCTGTCAGACAGAGGCTGTGTCTGCCCGTCACAGCACCCGGTGAGCCTTGCAGGAGAGTTTCTTACTGAGGCTTCTTCTGAGTCTCTGACATCTGTTCCCCTGCTTGGAATAAGAACTTCTCTGCCTTCACATATTTCTGTAACGTCTTTTGGAAACTTTCCACAGGCTTGCATTAAAATTTTCTTGGCCTGCTCACCAGTCACATCTAATTAATCTTAAAAAAAGAAAGTGTATACTTGAAAGTAACTGAGAAAGCCCTGCCAGGTAGGACTGGGTCCCAGGTGTGCTCTGGCTACGTGTCTTGAGCTTTTTCAGGAACAACGTGATTTGTGATGAGCTGCTGTGAAATAATTGTCTTGCAGTGATGTATACTGAGTCAGGTGAGGTATGCCTCCTTACGGTAAAAGATAGCTTGTCGAGGTAAGCACATAGCTTGATCCCTTCCCCTTTTAAAATGATAAGGTTAGTTATATACATGGAGAGATAAAATAGTTGAGTGGGTAAACTGGTTCCGAGTAGTATGGTTGCTGTCCCAACATTGAACACACTGGGAACAGAAAACTGGCTTCAGCTTTTTTGATACAAAGACGGTGTCCTTTCTTGTGTATCCTACTTAGTTGGTCCATAATGTAGTGCTGGATCCTAGCTGGGGTAGAAGAGAATATGGCTGTTGTATTTCCATTTAGCTTAATCTTTCAGACTTTGCTTCAGGAAATTCATTTGTTAGTGCAAGTTTTCTACCAAGTCTGCTTGCTATTTTCCAAAAACACATTCAACATCACTTATTCTGACATCCACCTCCACACACTTGAGTATTTAATGGTTTACAATTAGCATGCCATCTTGTGACTTCAGAACCCATGAGAGCCAAAATGAATATTTATCATTATAAAATCACCATACGTTTAACAACTAAAACCATGTAGGTACTACATTTCTCTTTTGTTTTATTTTTTTATTGGTAGAATCATTATAACAGCACAAAAAGAAAGGGGGAAAAAAGCTCATTGATTCAGCATACTAACAATATCTCCGAAATCTACCAGCTTTTTGTTTGGTGGTAACCTATTTCCCACAAGCTGTGTTACATCGAAATCTACCAGCTTTTTGTTTGGTGGTAACATATTTCCCATAAGCTGTGTTACACAGAGCAATTGTAAGCAAGCCAAGCCTAGCATGGAACAATTTGTTTAAGATGTGATTTTTATCACAATAAAGAAAAACACTCAAAACCATATTATTGTAGATCAGGTCTGGTTATGTCCCCATTTTAAAAGCACATGAGTCACCAGTTGCCAAACATGGTGCAGAGTGGCTGGACTGAGCCCCTGGTCATAAATCGGGCAGCTCCTGCCCTGAGCCTGATTTCCAGCTCCCACCTCTGCTCTCCTCTTCATCATCCCCTGGCCCCAGGAGCTGAATATCAACTTGATAGCTGTTAGACACAAGACAAATGGATACTTATCACCAACACAGTGCAGTTCATATTAACTCTTTTATTCCTCAAATCAAGCCCTGGGATGACCGAGTTCACCCTTAGTTTTTCAGATCTGAGAATAGATAAAAGAGGCTTAGCACAGTTTGGTGCTAAGACTTTTTTTTTTTCTTCCAAAGTAGTTGAAGAACTACTTTCCATCAGTGTCATCAATGTCTTTAAAATGTGTGACAGATGCAAATCCTTAATTTCATCTCCTGTGTCATATATGAATTAGGGAATGGGTACAAGAGGAGTGGGTATAATTAGCAGTACCTGTTCCTAGTTGAGCTACCTGAAACGAGTCTGTCTGTCTGATTCCCTCTTTGGTCTCAATAACAGCTTTTACTATAGCCCTCTCTGAAGGTTGTTCATAAGTCCCTTTAATTGTTTGGGTTTGAACACAACATGTTCAAGGCCAGGTTGGATGGGGCTTTGAGCAACCTGATCTAGCGGATGGTGTCCCTGCCCATGCCAGAGGGGTTGGAACTAGATGATCTTGAAGGTCCCTTCCAGCCTAAACCATTCTATGATTCTATGTTTCCTTTTCAGTAGAAGATAGTAAGGTCTCATTTCCTCATACAAGTGCTAGACTAATCATAATTTTAGACAAGGGGAATTTAGACCGAATTTTTTTTTTAAGGTACATCACCAGACAATGAAATATAACAAATATGTTAGAAACCAGCAACAGAGACAAGCAGTCATCATGCCAAATCAGTCAGAAATACTGACAGAGCGAAACCTGTAGACACTATTTGTTCTTATGATTCACAGCCATAAATTCTCCAGGGGAATTCTCCAGGGGAATTAGGTGTCTGAACCATCTGCCCTTTGGCACCTCTGCAGCAAATGCTAAATTCATTGGTATCACGCACGAGACATGTGTCCTCTAACCCTATTTCTTCTTGATTTGGGGAAATGTCTCTTGTTCACATTTCTTAAGACTATCCTAACTACTGGCCTTAAAACCTGTCCTTTTAGTACCTCTTGCTAGCTCTTTTAAGAGGAGTAATTATTCCTTATTCAGTTTGCTGGGTCCTATGAATCTTTTTCCTAGACAGTCATCTCTCTGTGTGTGTCTGGGCACTTAGCCCAGGCTGTAGATTTCAAAGGCAGCAGGGTGCTAAGAGGTTAGACACCATAATGTTGTAAGTACCTTGTGGATCCAGCATTTCATCATTAGCTGAAAATTGATACTCTTATTTGTTTGAGCAACAGCTGTATATGCAACATATAGATAAGGGTGTACACAAAGTGTTTTGTGTGTTGAAGATAGCTTACACAATTCATTATAAATGTAGCAACAAGGCTGAAGCGCATTTTATTTTGTTCCTAGTAGGACTTAACACATTCTTCAATGTAGAGATGCTAAGATGCACAGTACAGTCATGATTGAACTTGCTGCTGCAATGATGGAATAGTGTTTCTTCTACACTATTCTGACTGAAAATAGCTTTTTTAGATACTGCAGTTTCTCATTGCTTAATATCCATTCCACACAGATTGTAGATGACTATATAGAGTGCATTATATATATATGCATTTGTAATATTTGTATTTCAGTTTTATGGGGAAAGAACATTTTTTTTTTTCCTAAGGGCCATTGCATGAATAGAAATAGTTGAAAAATGCTCTCAAAATTTATGCGATAAAAATTATTCCTTTATGTCATTTTTTAGGATCCTTTTTACTTCTTGTGCTTGAACGACTTTGGGAACAGTTGAGAGCTTGGCATTACTTTTCAGTTTTTCTTTTTTAACAGTGAATTGCTGTTTGTTGAATTTACAGGATATCTGCTAAATATTTCTCTTATATTTCAGCCCTGTTACTTGAGAAAGGGATTGCCATAAAGGACTTTTAAAGTGTCTATCACAATAGCTTAATATCTGTTTAGAAAAATTGTTAAAGATTTGTCAACATTTAGTCTGTACCAGGGCTAAACTATAAGTCACTCTATCACCCAACAACTGCTCACCAGCCAGGGAGGAAAACTGGGAAAAAGGAGAGCAGATCCATGGGTAGAAGTGAAAAAAGATTTAGTGAAACCACCACTAATACAGAGATATACAAAGCTATACTCAGCCAAATGATTGTCTAGTTGTCATAATCAGCCAGAGAATAGACCTCAGGAGAAACCAGAGAAGGAGCAGGAAAAAACACCCAAGAGCTCTTTCTCCTTAGCAGACCTTCTCCCTTTATAACACCTGTGATATTCTGGTATGGGCTACACCTGTAGCTCAGTCAGGTCAGCTGCCCTGGCTAACTCGAAACTGCTAATAGCCTGCCTACCTGGCTGGGCTGTGATTCTGTCCCAGCCAAACCAGGACAGCTTTTCATAGTACAGCATCTGTCTTTTCATTACTGGATTGTCAAGGCTACCTGGTGAATATAAGAGTCACCTGCTATACAGGCTTATCAGTCGTTATTGGCAAATTAGCTGTCCATCATGGGAAGCCAGGCTGTTCATAAAAATGTGAAGAAATGTATTGCCAGAGAAAGGCACTATATTCCATTTTAAAACAGAGAAGAGTAAAGTGTTTATGTTATATCTTTATACTATTTATAGATGGTAAAGAAAAATGTACAAACATTTTTTGTTAGAAATGGTAGATGTTTTGATTTGCAAATATTATTTCTTTCATGTAAAGTAGAGAAGAATTCAGGATAAATCTATATGGTACTACCCATCTCTCAATCTTGTAAAATAATAATGTAACATCCCAAGAAATTGATGCATAGCTGAAAAAGGTGATATGTTTGCCTGTGATTAAAGCTGGATGATTTCATTTGAAAGTTGTTATTTTTATACTGGCAGTTGATAACTCTGTGCTTTGTTTGTGCCATGTCTAAACTTGATTCAAACTTAATATCTGCCTGTGCAGAGAACTACTGAGGTTGGCAAGATTCTGCAACAGCAGAGCAAAATCTGATAATGAATCCCCAGCATTTTACTAAATATTACCTTTGACTTAAAAAAAAAAAAAAAAGCTTCATAAATACTTTTTTGGTTTTTTTTGTTTGTTTTGCTTAATCATTAAATACATTCAGCTTAAGAAAGCTAATGCAAGAAATCTCTGTAACTTCTTTGTGAAGCTGTATGTCCCAAGCTGTGTCTGGCTGAACCTCTGTTTTTGTTCAAATCCTGTCACTGACAGTGTGTATCAACCTAATTTGTGAAGCACTTTGGAAAAACATAAGGTTGACATTTTGGCAGGACAAGACTGTCAAGGAAGTTGTAAAGCCTCCCCATGTACAGCATAACTTTAGTTGTCTAATTACCTTTAATATGTAGACATGTATATGCCCCAAATGATCTTACACATCACAAAATAAATACCAGCATTTATTAAAAATAGAACAGCTCTTTTGAAATACACTGTTATTCTTACTCACACTGAAGACAACCTTCAGCACAGTGAACTATTTAGATGCAGAGTTGCAAATATTTTCATTTTCTTTGCCTTTATCTAGTAACATGTCACTTTTTGTTAGAAATAAACGTTACCTTATTTTCTTAATTTTCTAGTTTTATTAATGATTAGATTTTCCACAAGGGGATCTTATTTTGGGAATAATAGCAGACAAGAGCAAATACTAGTGGGAGTTAGATGTACCAATGCTAATCAAGCAACAGTTCTTAAAGAAAAAATAACTAAAATAAAAAAGTCATGAACAATCACAGAAAGATCATCTATGGTATAAGAATTTGGTGCCAATCTGGACTCTGTGATTCATGAAAAAGTCTCAGGGAATTTCTGTCCTCATCTCCTCTCCTGTATATAACAGTGTCATAAGTGGGAAGCAGAAGTTCCCCTGCACCAGTGTATGAAAACCATTAGAATTCACTGAGTTTCTGCAGAAATTTGTCCATTTCTGCAGGACAGGTAAATGTAAAGTTTTCAATTAGCACTTTCCTCCATCTGCCAGGAAGTGATATAAATATCATCTCTGAGTTTGTGTTCATTTGCTGATTAGTAATTTAAAATTTTCAATGACAACCCAAAACCTCTTAAATAATTAAGACAACTTAATTAAGAATGTCATAGTAACAATTAGAAGTGATCTGTATGTATTTGTTCATAAGAGAACATTTGAAATTCTCTACTTTATTCTGTAACCACAGCATTTATCGTTAACCTTATACTGTCTGTTGAAAAAGCAGAGGTATGTGATAGTACATGATACTGAAAAAACACATTATGAACATAAGGTAACTGTCAAATTGTGGCTCCATGGTTAAATGCAATCCTGTCGCAAGGCTGGGTTCTTAGTGTGGGGTAGGTCTGTGGAACTCAGTCCAGCTGAGCCAGAGTATGGTGCTTGAGGGTCTGGCTGAGGATGTTTTAAGTTTTAAATAAAAAATAAACTAACAGGTAACTGAGTTGAACTCAGCATTTTAATTTAAATCAGCATTAAGTTTATAAGTTTGTACAGTGCGTATTTCAAAATGCATAACTAAAGTAAATTTTGTCTGCATTGCCATCTCAGATTAGCATCTTGTTTACTTTGATTACCTGGTTAACTATGGATTATCTACAGTGTGGATGTTTAATATGTAACTTACTTTTTTTTTTTTTCCTTTCAATTTTTCTCAGGAGGTGTTTGCATTGCTCAGTCACTCAAAATCCCTCGGGAACCAAGACCAGGAGAATTTGAAAAGATCATCAAACGCTTGTTGGAAACTCCAAATGCTCGAGCAGTGATCATGTTTGCGAATGAAGACGATATTAGGTGCCTAATTCCTAATTTTTGTGTGTTAAAGTGTTCTGTCTTCAGATGCTCAATTGGCTGGTGCAGAATGGAATAACACAGGAGGTTTTAGAGTCAATCCAATGTAAAAATTCTTGGAAATCTGGTGATAAGAAATTGAGTTGTAATTATACACCATGCTGGTCCTTTATTCTCTGGACATCTGTCCTGTTCCTAGTTGCTAAAAGTGCAGTTCCAATAGATTGTTATTTGGTGACTGAAAAGGAATAAACCAATCAGAATGCTAGAAAAATATGGGCAAAGATGAAACAAATTAACTTCTACAGTACTATATCTTGAGTTTGCTACAGCTGTTGTTGAATGTGCTTTAGACGGTGAAAACTTTTTAGTGATTGGTTAGGTGAGGTTATTTATGCATAGTCAGAATTAATGCTGGATATTCTCAGGTTCTTTGTAAACACAGTTTGTTTAATTAGTCCTTTGTTCTTTATTTGCAGGCGAATACTGGAAGCCGCCAAAAAAGCTAATCAATCTGGACATTTCCTCTGGATTGGCTCAGATAGCTGGGGGTCAAAAATTTCACCAGTTCAGCAGCAGGAGGAGATTGCAGAAGGAGCAGTAACAATTCTGCCCAAAAGAACATCAATAGATGGTAGGAATACACATGGCACAAACCCCTAATTTTCTGACAATGTTCAAGCACTCTCTTTTAAAAAAAATAATTAAAAAATCATTTAATCCTTGATTACAGTGAAATCAGGGAAAACTTTCCAACTAAGTAATTTGAGTTGACCCGATCCAATAATAATTTAATAACTCTGTTGAGGAAATGCTGAATCTGCAACTAGGCAATCTTATAATTGTCTAATAACAAGAGCATGTGTGGTAGAGAGGTAAGGCTGGTGCAAAATCTGATCAGGTTTAAACAGGAATCTTTAGTGTCTCAACTGAGGTCATTAAACATATAAATAGAAGAAGAATTTTGGGTGCCCTGGAAGCCCTCTAGTTCAACAGAGAGGTATCTCATGATTCTAGGTGGCCTTGAAATGAAATTTATTTGGATCACAGTCTTTGACTAAGTAGTGATTATAGTTTCTTATTGGTGACCAATCCTTTATTTGGGTCATCTGTGTATCAAAAATTAAATTATTTTCCTAACTATTTGTATTGCATTTTTTTTTTAATTATAGAATTCAGCTGGTGCTTTAGAGACTCTTTAACTGCTGTAGGTATTTAAAAAATTTTGTTCTACAGCAAATATGGGATAATAACAGACTACTATTTTTTAATCCTTAGATACTATGCTCATAAAATAGCTTATTATAGTAGTTTGTACAAGATTTTTCTTGTTCTGTTGTTTATACAAAATCTGTTATTGTCTTTGAATGACTACTTTTAAGGTGTATCATTTTAAGGTTTCTTTCACTCCTCTTAAATGTAGGATTTGATAGATATTTTCGGAGCCGAACACTTGCTAACAATCGAAGAAATGTCTGGTTTGCAGAATTTTGGGAGGAGAACTTTGGATGCAAGTTAGGATCACATGGAAAAAGAAACAGCAATATCAAGAAATGCACAGGTAACTGAAACTAAAACATTATCTATAAGCTGTTTATGGGAGAGCAGGAAAGGAAATGCTTTCTTTTCTTCACTCTTCTGGCTGCCTTCAATTCTTCAATACATATTATTGTGTGGTAAGAAAAATTCACGGACAATGTTTGAGGAAGTTAGTAGTTAATTTGTGCAAATCCAATGATGGTGCAGATTTTGTTGAAGACTTGTGGCTGTGGTTCAAGTTCATTCATGTTTTCAATGACCCCATCTCTCACCCCATCTATAGTTGTCAATATGATATTTTTTTTTTTGTGAACATGCACATCACAGTAATTCTCATTGTTATCCTTGAAGTGTATACAGAGAAAATTAAATTTCTGTTTAAATTATTGAGGTCTTGATGATAGGTCAAGTCATGAACTCTCCATTTAGTTTACAAACTGTGTTTGAGGATGGAGTAAAAATCAAATCAATATGTTCTTGTTACTTGCCTTCATGTGAAAAGAACATGATTCTATATTGCATTATAAAGCTGAAAGTCTCTATGAAGTTTGAGCAAATACTCTATGTAACTGCACTGGTGTTCTCAAATCTTCTTGCATCATACCCAGACACAATTGTCATGACAACTAATATAGCAGTTGCATTAGTAGCTCCGAGTTTCATCTCCTTTATGTGATGTTGGCTTTTTGCTGTCCCTTGCAAAGTTTATTGCAAAAGTGTTACTTTTAGTCTTCTGTGACTGCAGCAGACTGCTTATGTTACTTTTTGTGTAGACAGTTTTTGCCTAATGTCAGGGCTCCCAGTGTCATTTCCTTAATTACAGCCACCACCCCCAGCATTACTGGTAGTGACCACCACCTCTGTGGCTAGTAGCAGCAGCAATACCCAGTTTTCTGCAGTTCATACGTATGTCGCTGATGTACCTTGATTTTCCTAACTGTTTTCTTTCACCAAATAGTGTTTTCCACATGGAACATGAACATTTTTGTTCACTTGCTGTTCCAAGATTTCTGCATACCTGGTGACACTGTCACGCAGCCTTTGTTATGGGGGTGCCCTTCCAAACTTTCTGCAAACAGAAGCTGCACACCAGCACCCCACTTCTCCTTGGTTTATCAGACAGACGTATCATGCAGTCTCTAGGAACATGCATCATTAGTCCTGCGCTGCCTGAACGATCAGATTTATTGTACGTGTACTGTGCCATCAACTCAAAGACTTACTGCGCTGGGCCTTGCAATGCACAGATATATCTTACACAGAAATATGAAAGCCGTGCACGCACTCTCTCATTTCAACAGCGACACCTTGTCTTCTGCCTTTTACCACATACTCCACAAAACAAAAGGATGATATTCAGTTCCTCACTGAGCTAAATGATAGCTTGTTACTCTAATCCTTTACTCCTTGGCCTTGATTCATATTGTGGTAATCATGGCTGGGTAGTTACCCATGTCTGGGAAGGGATTATTTTGTTTTTACTATTTTAATTGGAAAATAGATGCTTTTTTTTAAGTTCTTCAGGTGGAATGAGTGCTGTATGTGCTGTAGTTTGGGAAGCTCTAAATGTTACCACAGATGGTTGTATGACTTGTCTCAGCCTCATCGCATCTGTCAAATTGAATTACCAAGTGAAAAGTAGTGTATAAAATGCATAGGCCATAATAGATTCAAAGTAATCTGTGATTTGAAAAGGATATCCGTATATTTTATGAAACAAAACTATGGTATCCTCTCAGTGCCTGAAAACAGAAAGAAAACATGTTTTCTGCACCTGGAAAGTTAATATAGTATCAAGGGACGGGATTAAGACACAGGCAGTCTCATATGAAGGCTGCACATGCATTTTCACCTGTGGGGGAAAAAGCTATGAATTCTTCTGCAAGCAAGAGTACCTATAAATGATAGGACACTTGATTAAAATCTTGATTAAAAGGTGGTTTACTGCAATAGAAAAGACACTTGGACAGCAGCAGACGTGAAATAAGCTGATGATTCATCATGATCTGTATGCTTATCTAACTCAAATGTAAAGGGTTGGATAAGAAAAATAACCAAAATCTATTCCTTTTAAGTAGACTGAATCAAGAGATGAGGGTGGAAGTTCAAAATAAAACTCCTGTGATTTAAGGAGAAATGCTAGGTGGACAATGGGGGAATGAGACACACCCTTATCCACCTACCCCCAGTAGAGACCTAGAGAATCACAAATGGCATCTTGACCCACCCCAGTTCATTTGTCATGGCCTTTCGTGCACAAAAGAGAGGCAGCAATGAAATCCTGGCTAGTTCTTCATACCGCAGCTCTCAGAGCAGATGAGTCAGTCTACTATAATCTATGTCAGCTGAAGACTAAAGAGGAGAATATCCCACCCATGAATTTATATTTCCCTTGAAAGGCCAAAGATGTTATGAAGTTACTTCATGGCCAAGTCTGCTCTGAAATAATGGCGCTAAATGAAAGAAAGGAATGAACACCCAAATTTCAGTAAGGATATAGGAGCTCTTACATGTAATTTTTTATAACTTAATATTGAAGGTTTTGATCCTTTGCCTATCTCAGTTGCCAGTTGTCCTTACAGTGGGATGTCTCTGAAACTTTACGTGCACTTTCTCAGTTTAAGTTTCAGCTCAATTCTCAATAGGAATGTATTCGCATATCTAGTCCACGACTTGAAAATTGAACTTAAACCTGCCATTTATCCTAGTTTTCCCAGATTTTATCTGGGCACTGCAGATAATAAGATCCTCTTTGTCTTTTGTCCACTAGCCCAATTTGTAATATCATGTTAATAGCCAGTGATAAACTGAAAGAAATCCAAAAACTCAAGATACAGCCATACTCCGAAAATCTTCCTCTCCAAAGATATTAAAAGGCAAATTGATAGATGTCAAGTTTTCTCAGGCTTGAGATGTGTATTATTAGGCATTCCAGTTCATCCTAGCTAGGAGGTACTTGAATCTTCTTCTCATATGACATTTCACGAGGGTTTGTAGTGATAGGATGAGATGTAATGGTTTTAAGCTAGAAAAGGGTGGATTTAGGTTGGACATCAGGAAAAAGTTCTTTAATATGAGGGTGGTGGATCACTGCAACAGGTTGCCCAGAGAGGTAGTGGAAGCCACATCCCTGGCAACATTCAAGGTTAGGCTTGATGGGGCTCTGAGCAACCTGACCTAGTTAATGTCCCTGCCTATTGTAGGGGGGTTGGACTAGATTACCTTCAGAGGTCCCCTCCAACCCAATATATTCTATGATTCTGTAATTTGTAATTCCCAGCAACAAAACTGATATCCCTGTTCTCTATTTCTCTATAAGTTATTATAGAGATTAATTATATATATATTTTCTATAACTCTGTAAGTTATTCATTCATAGCTGTAAATTTTTACTACCTGCAGTCAGATTACTACAAATCTAATCCAATTTCAAGCATTTTTTTTTCCTGTGAAGATACTAGAAACACTTCATAGTGAAAGATATTTTTTCTTTTCTTTTCCGTGTAAAATCAACAGTCTTTTTAGCACTGAAATTCCTGAGATTTATTCTACTTGTTCAAGGTTAAGAATTACAAAAAAGCATATGCCTTCTTACCTCATTCTGCTCTTATGCATTACTGATTATTATATTCTAGTGTTGTAATGGCTTAACAAGTTTATTTAAAGAAAACTGTGATTTTAAAACTGTTTAAAAATACTATTTATTTGCGGTTGCTGTTGCTTCCTACTCCTGAAAGAATTTGTGCTTTGGAGCTACATAAAATAGTAAGTTTCTTCTGAGTTTGCCTGATCACTCACTTTCTGATTTTTTGCCAGTTTACAGAAAGCAATGATTCACCTACACTTTGAAAAAGTAATTGCTTTCCTACTATTGATTTGCAACTAGCTCTATGCGTTTCTGAATGTGAGTGTACATTGATCAAATCATCAAGATTAGACTAGCTCATAGGAAAATATTAGAGATTATTTTCTTCCAAACTTTCTGGAATTAAAAAAGAATAAATTAAACTTTTTTAATTGAGGAAGGGGAAAGGCATTTGAAGAGAAAGCTTATTTGCCTTACTACAACAAAATGAAAAAGAATGGAGCACTACAAGGATTGAACTGTCTGTAGAGGTTACAAGAAGCCTCACTTTACATATTTGTTCAAGGTGCAGGTTTTCTATATTCAATAAAAAGATCTGTAGTGAGATGTGAAACTTTCAAGGATTTTCAACAGCCTTTCTTTAGCACTGAAATCTCTTTGTGGGAACGAGAAGTGAGGCGATGAGAAGCTTTTCACTCATTCCCTTGCCCCAGCAACTGTAGAGACAGAGACAGCATTCATCCTTCGATTACCTGCATTCTTCAAGAGGAAGGGCTTGCACCATGGTTGTGGGAGATGGCAGAGACAGTATGCCTCTTGCTCTACTTTAAATTTGACATCCTTGAAAATTTTCCTGTACCCTCAGCTTCTTACTTGAGCCAATTGGTGGGCCAAGTTTTTGGTAGCTGAAGATTTAGCACTATTTAGAAACATTGCAGACTGACCAGATTTATTCCTGGTGCTGTGTTGTTAACTCCAGCCCTCGGTCGTTGAACTATTAATTGTCCGTCCTAGCTTAAGGCAAGTTTCTAGACCTTGTGTTTCTTAAGACATGTACAAAAGTTTGAATACAAAGATTTGAAAATGAAACAAAGATATCCCTGAGTACTCTTTGCGTTGAATTGTGGGGCTGACGATGTGTGCCATCACTCTTTCAGAAGACCAAACACAGTGACAGAAAAAAAAAGCAGCATTAATGATAAAGATTTAAGAGAGTAGGATAAGAATGAATTCAAATGTACTCGAATTTGCTTCCAATAACCTCACTGAATGTTAATATTTGATTTCATTCTAACAAAAAATTCTGAAAAAATCCTCTTTACATATATATGTGCGTACACATGTAGATATTTGTTTGTGTTTGCATGCATAAGCAGCTAGAAATCTAACATGAAGTTGCTTACTGTATTATGTTTTAGTGTGTACAATGGTAGCCT